CCCTCCTCCCCTCTAGAACCCTCAGTTTGTTTTTCAGAGTCCATCATCTCTCATGGTTCGTCTCCCCCTCTGACTTACTCCCCTTCATTCTTCCTCTCCTGCTATCTTCTTCTTTTTCTTTTCTCTTAAAATATGTTGCGTTATTTGTTTCAGAAGTACAGATCTGTGATTCAACAGTCTTGCACAATTCACAGCGCTCACCGTAGCACATACCCTCCCCAATGTCTATCACCCAGCCACCCCATCCCTCCCACCCCCAACCACTCCAGTAACACTCAGTTTGTTTCCTGAGATTAAGAATTCCTCATATCAGTGAGGTCATATGATACATGTCTTTCTCTGACTTATTTCACTCAGCATCAACTGATTTCTTCATATAATACGTATATGTCCATAGAAGGAAGACACGTTACTGCACATAGATTAAAATTATTACTTCAGGATTCTCTGATAAATCCACCTTTTTAAGTAGCCCCCCATTTCCATTCATCTAATCTCATTATCAAATGGATTTTTAACTGCATTTTTACACTTCCTAGAAACAATTACTGCATTCCTTACACTCACTAAGTTTTGTTTTTAATAAAAATTCCATAAATTGAATTTGACTTTTCATACAAACACTACGGTAGAAACACCTAACAATACCCAATAATTAAACAAATAATCATGAATATAGCAATACTAAGTTATAAATTATATTCTAATAGTGTCAAGCTTTCTAAAATACTTATTAGCAGAAATACTTATACTATACAAATACTGTACAAAGTCCTTATCTTTATAATTCCTTATCATTATAATCATAAATTATCATATGAAAGTAAGCTTCATCAGAATCACAGAATATGGAAGTACTTCCTAAAGGCAAATCTTGATGGATAGTTGTAAAGAAACTTTTTAAGAAAACATTAGGAACAATTAGGGGCTTTTGCAGAAACTGGTATTTCTGCTGTATTCATGTCATGATTGCAAAATTTCTTTTTAAATACAGACATAGTGTTCCGGTTGTTGGCCATTCTACTCTCTAGGGGAAAGAGGAGTGGATTCGTTTTGCTTTCTTTAGCAAGCACCCTCACCCTCTCTCCTAGTGTTAAGAAGGGATAGTATTGTCTTTTCAATTCCTAATCCAGTTCATTTTACTGAATTTTTCATTACTCAAGCCTTTATTACTGTTGCTACTTCTTCATGTTGCCTCAGTGTCATATGACTTCACAGCTTTGACATAGTGGTAATGAATGAGCTTGAGTCCAGTCCACATAATCTGGAATCTTTTCATCTTGGCCATAGGCCTTGAACTTTGCTTTATAATAAATTATAACTATCACTACAATTGCAGCTGCACTTTGGCACTGTTTTCCTTGTATCAGCTATGTAAAGGATACTATTTTACTAGAGTGAAACCAGCTTTATAAAAAGGCCACCAAAATGTTTATTAAGTTAATTAATAAAATTTTGTTTCACAGCCTTGTTTCAGTAGTTTCAAAGGACTCTACTAAAATGGAAATCTGAACCTAGATTTTTTTTTTAAATAAAGAATAGGGTATTGAGCTCATGTGGGAAAAGAATGTTTTTACTTTTTTATGATTGTCTAACATAATCTGTTTTTTAAATATGGAATATTTGGCAAAAATTAAAGATCCACATGTTTGATACCTGTTGTTGGAAAAGCTGAATTTCCCTGAAGAATTTATAAAACTGACTTTAAAAAAATGTATCCACACAAAATGTGAACTCTGTAATCCTGCCAAGGTCAGAAAGACCCAGAATAATCATGTAAATTATTGAAAATTGCCATTTGTCTGGCATGATTTCTCTATGGCTTCAGAAATTGCAGTATATGAGGATGGAGTGTTCTTGGTTGGCCCAGTTCCTTCTTTTTCTGTTTATTCCCTTTATCTTCATGTAAACATCCCAACTCTCCTTACAATAATAGATCATTATTTCTTGGGGATCATCTAAGATGATATTCCTTTTTATTGGAAACTTTCAACATTCATCTGTTTTCTTGTGATGTAAAATAAATGCATCAAATCTCTTTCAAATTTATCTTTATAAAGGTCAGCATTTTCCTGTTAATGTTTTAAGATTCAAGAAATGATGTCTTTAAGTAAAGTATTTTCAACATTTTGTGTTTGTCCATCTGGTTCACAAGAGATATTTAAGAAGTCAATTTATTTTCACTAGAAATGGTTTGCTACTACAAAATATACAGTTACAGGGTGCCTGGCTGGCTCAGTTGGTAGAGCATGTGACTCTTGATCTCGGGGTCATAAGTTTGGTACCAATGTTGGATATAGAGATTACAGAAAGAGAGAGAGAGAAAGAAAGAAAGAGAGAGAGAGAGAGAGAACACAGTTATGTCATATGTGTTATATTCAGTTTATTTCAATAAAATGAACTTGAATATAAGTTGAAGAGATGAATGATTTATTTTTTAAAAGAAAACTAAATGTTCCATCTTCAAAATAAAAAAAAAAATGGGCTTGTCACTTTTAAGTCCCTTAAAGGTTGAGGCCTCTTTGTATATGTAAACATCTTTGTTCTCAACTGCATAGTCTGGTGACAGGAAGATAACAGGTGCTCAGTAAATATTTGTGGAATGAAAAACTATTCCCTACCCACATTCATTTATATGTGCCATTTCAATCCCATCAAACTCTTAAAAAAGAAAAATAATTATGTCATCAGCAAGAATCTGTATCTAGTACACTCTTACAGTCTTTGTATGTCTGAAAAAAGAATTATTTAATGATAGTTTAACTGGGTATAGAATACTGAGTTTATAGTATTTTCCTCTCTGCACATAGAAGGTATTATCTAATTATCTTCTGGTGGTGGTGGTATTAATGAGAAGGCTTTCTTCAGGTTGATTGTCCTTTCTTTGTGGGATATCTGTTTTTTTCTCCCTGCTAGTTTTTTTTTTTTTAAGATTTTATTTATTTATTTGACAGAGAGAGAGAGAGGTAGTGAGAGAAGGAACACAAGCAGGGGGAGTGGGAGAGGGAAAGCAGGCTTCCCACAGAGCAGGGAGCCTGATGTGGGGCTTGATCCCAGGACCCTGGGATCGTGACCTGAGCCGAAAGCAGATGCCTAACGACTGAGCCACCCAGGTGCCCATCTCTCAGCTAGTTTTTAAGATATTCTCTGTGATATAACAAAGTACAAGATTTATTATTATTTTTCCCATTAGAGATGCTCTCTCCTTTTTTGCTTTGAGGATTCATGCCTTCTTCAGTTACCTGACATTATGTCTTTGCATTATCTCTTCTGTTTTCTCTATTCTTTTCTTCCAGTATTTTAGAAATTTTGATATGTCTTCTTACTCTACCACTTTCTCAGCTATCACTGGAGGGCTGTTTAGTCTGCTGCTTTAACTCATATTTTGAGCTTGTTCCTATCTCTGTTTTTTATTTTAAAACTATATTTCCTTTTTAGAGTTTGTGTTTGGTTCTTTTTCAGATCTGTCTATAGAATACCCAGTTCTTGCTGGCAGATTCTATTCCTTCCTTTACCTTTCTGGACATGCTGATGATGTAAAGTCTCAGGTTGCTTCATTATCTAAAATTCCTCTGATTGTGTATTCTCACTCACACTTGTTACATCTGCCCATTTTCATGGTGGTGGGTTTTATATGTTCTTCATAATTTTTGCCTGAGCTCCTCCCCACCCCTCCCTCCACATTGGAATCAAAAGCATTCTCTGGATTATGGAAGTCTTCCTAGGGTATGTTTTTATATTCATCCCTCATTGAGATCCATAGTCTTCAGTGATTCTGGGCCAGTTTTTATGTTGGTTTTTAGCTTAGATTTTCTATACCACCCAGGTGCTACAAAATCAGATTCTACAACTGGCGCAGGCTGGGCATTCCACATTTCACCAGTGATTCTTCTTATCTAGAGTAGGACGGTAACCTGCTTCTATCCTGTGTTCCCAATTTGGGCTTTTCTAGCTTTAATTTGCACACTGGGTATCCTCTTAACTCCTCCTTTGTTTTTGGTTGGTTTGTTTTTAATGCAGGGAGTTCAGTCATTTTCCTCTCCCCTCTGGACATGGGGTCCTGCAGACTATAACTTAAGGCATTAGCTCCCATTCACCACTATGTTAATTCTTTGCTTTTTCACACCTACTGATTTACCTTTCTTACTTCTGAGCTCAAATATAATTTTGCTGTTGTTGTTGTCAAATTGTATACAACATTTCTCTTTTTGGAATGGGCTGGGACTTGCACATATTCACTCTACCATCTTCCCAGGGAAATTGGAACCATACAATTTAAAATTATTTTTTTTCTTGACCCAGTGTTTTTAACAATTTATGTTAAACAAGCAACCCATGTAGTCTGTAAAATAAATATGATTTTATCTATAATTTCAACCAACTGTAGTTAGCATCTTAAAATCACTGAATATCCTGGCAATCCAGTAGAGATTAAAAAGTAGGATTTATGAAGATAGTTTCTTATTTAATTATCACATAAAGATTGTTATTTTTTAAAAGTTTGGCTGCTTATGTAAAATTAAATACCTGAAAATCTGATTAATAATATTGAGAGAAATTACTGAATTTAAGAATTTTAAATATCTCATTTTTATGCCATTATTTTTATAATCATTAATTTTTATCCTCACTTAGTATTGTGGATATCAGCATGTATATAGTATGCGATCAGTCTTGACAATGAAGGCATTATCTTATTGCTATTACTTTTATTATATCTTTAAGAAAGCTACATCTTTAACATATGTCTTAAACCATAGACACCATGGACACATCATAGTATTGCCATTTCTTTTATATATGTCAGAAAGATATAAAAGTAATTTTTGCCCATATCTTCTTTTTAAAAATCTAGGTTAACATTTCTTACAGTGCTATCAGTTGGAGAATATGATATACTTGATTATAAAGAGTTTGGGGAAAAAATAAGGCCATCTCCTCATTGAACCAAAAATGACTATTTTTTTCAGACTTAGTTTTTGCTTTCCTTCTCTTTCCAGACACAGAAAGAAAAAGTGAAGACAGATACACTGACACATACAAAGAAAGGTCAACAGCTAAGTGAAGGAAGCATTTCATTTCCCCTTTACATTTCACACCCTGTAAGCCAGAAGAAGAAAAAAGTCTACCGCACAGATCAGACCACGTTCATAATTGGAGAAACGCCAAAAGGAATCCGCAGGTATGTTTATAACAATATTGGACTTTAAGAATTATTCTTAAAAGAAATATAGCTACTTAATAAAATACACAAATTATTTGAATCTTAACCATACCTGGCATCTAAATTTGTACACTTTAAACAATAAATTCCAGATATTTTAAATGTTTTTAGAAAGCTAATCCCTGAATTGATAAAAAATCATTTTAGATCCATTTTATATGGATACATGAAATACTTAAGTGCATTATATTCATTCACTGAATATGTACTGAGTACCTAATATGTACTCAGACATTGTGCTGAGTGCTGAACATATAATGTAAAAAAGGACATAGAGCTTATAGCACAGTGGGAGTTGGCATTAAACCATAAGAATTTTCAAAAGGAAAAAAAAAACTTATAATTATAAAATGATAAAAGAAAGAAGTGGGCAGGCCTCCTTGATAGAGATTAATGGGATCTGGAGGAGGTGCAGATAGCGTTCTGTTCGGTATTCAGGGAAGACCTCATGACACAGTTGACATCTGAGACCTGAGGGATAACCAGGCAAAGAACTAGAGTAAGAACATGCCTGAGGAGGGAAGAGGTTGGTGTGTTTGAGGAACCGAGAGAAAACTCGTGTACTTAGTACATGATAAACCAAGTGGGCAGCCATAAGATGAAGGCCAAGACATAGATGGGGCTGGAGCAAGCAAAGCCCTGTCAGCGGACTCTTGTCCGCACCAAGAGTTTGGATTTTATTCCAAGTGCAGCCAAAAGCTGTTGAAGCATGAATATGATCTGATGTATGTTTCTAAAAGATTGTTCGAGGTTCTGTGTGGAAAAGGGCAGACTAGGGGAGACCATAAGGAACTAGTTGATGGTGGTTAGCAATAGAGTGGTTGCCATGGAGACAGTGAAGTGGATGACTTCAGTTTGGTGCTCGACTGGTTGTTGGAACAACAGACTGGGTTGACTAAATGGGGAAAACGAACAGAGAAAAGAGTTTGGGGTGAAAAAAATCAAGAGTCCTCCTTTGTTCATATTAAATTTGAGGTTCTATGGAAATGCCAAATAGGCAATGTATATGCTACTCTGGGGTTTGGGGGCTAGAGATCTAAATGTGGAAGTCATTGGCATCAAGATTATAAGTGACTTTAGAGCCACGGATTGTGTGAACAGCCTAGGAGCCCGGCACAGAGAGAAGAGGAGAAGCCCCAAGACTGAGCCTTTAGGTGACAGTGGCCCGCTGGGTAGGAGGCACAGTATAAGGTCCTGAAATCCAAGAGGAGTGAAGTTTCAAAAAGGAGGGAGCACTTCACTTTATGAAATGCTTCTGAGAACCAGAGTCAGATGAAGTGGGAAGGTACCTCCTGGAACTGGCAGCAGAGAACTCATTGGCTGCCTTGATGGGAGCTGTCTGCAAATCTTTGGGCAGACGCCAGGGTGAGGTGGGCAAGCAGGGGATGGGCAGACCCTGTGACAGCTCTTGGAGAGTAAAAAGGAACAGGAGCTGGAGGACATTATCAGTCAAAGGTAAGTTTTTTTCAAGCTGGGAAGATAATAGAACCTGTTTGTGTGTTGAGAGAAAAGCCTAATAGGGGAAAAAAGAGATCATGCCGGAGCCATGCTAAGAGAAGCCCTGGACGCAGGAGAGGGTGAGGTCCAGGCCCCTGCAGAAGGTCTAGCCTTCTAGATGAAGGGATGAAGACGGACACTGATATGGTGCTATTTCCTCAATTAATTGAGAATTAAAGTATCAATTCAGAGGGAGAGAAATTTCAGGAGAGAAAAGCCAGGAAATAAATCACTTATAAAGTAGGACAGCAAGCTTAGTGAGACTAGAATTCATGGCTCATGTTAAGTCCCTGTTTGAGAGCAATTGCAGTAGAAGCATCCATGCAGTTGTGCAGACTTTGTTCAGTACACTTCAATTGCTCAGTTACAGACACAGAATAGAGAGATGGCTGGGGTTTATTCAGGGGTTAGAATGGAGGGAAGCTGAAGGATGTTTGTAAAGGAGTAATTACAAAATTGAACCTAAGCTAAACAAGGGGAGGCTTGATGAGGTCAGAAGTATCTTCCAGCATTGTTGTCATGGGGGAATTGAACAGTTGAGCTGGTATATAAAGTGCCTGAATTCAGGGATTTGCAGGTTGTGCAGTTAATGGTAATGATGGTGGCAGTCTATGGTCTTGGGAATAGGGACCTGACATGCAGTTGATTCTCGGGTCAGGAGTGGTAAAGAAATTGGTGGGGCCAGAGTTGGAGTTGAGTGGGGCATCCACATGGATATTGGTTTTATCAAGAATGATAGCAGGAGATGGGAAAGGAAGCAGGATTAATCTCGGGTGTTCAGTCACTAGCAGGAAGCAATTAAGAGGTCACTTAACAAGTTGAGGGAGAGAATGGTTTAGCAAGATAGCATAAACCTCAAAAAGGGGAAGGAGTCTCCAAGCAAATGATGGTCTGGAAGCAGCAATGTGAACCTGAACCCTGAGATTTAGGGCGTGAGGTATAAGAGCCTTAGCTTGTAAGGGCTGCATGGGAAGAGGCGGTATGAGGGGACAGAGGGATGATTCCAGGGGGAGAACAGGGGAGTTGGTAGATCGTAGCCTGGTTCTGGGGCACCAAAGAATGGTCTGGAAAGGTGAGGGATTGGATTAGATTGGGGGTGAAGAGAGTAGGAGGCGATGAGAGGCCAGTGGTTCCAGGTAAGAGAGTAGTGGCTGAGGTAGGCAGGGATGGGAGGCAGGGCTGAATTGGCCCTGAAGGCTCAGCAGGCAGTGGGCAAATGGTGATGGCTCTCTGGGTTCCAAATTCTTTCCTCAGGGTTTGGCAGCTCCTCGGCCCTTGGGTACTGGTGTGGTAGGTTGGAGTATGGCTCTTAGCTGTGCACCATTGCCCAGAAAGGTGAACACCCCACATATTACTCCAGTGTATCTCCTCTTAAACAGATTTATAACTATGATTCTGGGCAAACTTGGGGCAATTTACTTTGGGCAATTATTTTGCTCAGAGGCCGACCATAATACATTTTACCAGTTTTTGAGGAGCACAAGTGTCCTTATCCCCTCTAGCACTGTATATAAAAAGAAAACTATTAACAATGCTTAGTTTTGGCCTCTCTTCCTTCTTTCTCTACCTAGCCTAGGTAATAAATGCCTCAGGCTAAGTGAAAGGCTAACGGACCAGCATCTGAGCCAGGGAACAGTGTTAGAACTGCTGACACGTCTTTCCTGCTAACCATCCACTTTTATGAGAATCACGGCTCTGTACCAGCTGTAGCCCTCGGGGCACTGGAACGAAGTTTCTGTCCCCCTTCACTTCAGAAAGCTCAGGGAAAGAGAAGATGGTTTAGCTGTGTTCTACCCCTTTCCCTCAGTTCCTCAAGAACAGGGGAGAGAACATGAATTACATCCATGGCAGACAACTACTCTGGATACCTATCTTTGGTTTTCTTTTTTTTTTTTTCTCTATAGTGGCTCATGAGTGTCTACTCTCGTTTACTAAATTGTCCTTACAAAGTGGCTAGCTTATACCTCCTGATTGTACCTTGCACTTCCTTAAATACTTAGAGAAAATTCTTTTAAACACCAAGAATTATGAAAGCCAGTTAGAAGGCAAAAATAAAATGAATTATAATCGTAATTCATCTTGTGAAGGGACATCGCACAGCCTAATTTACTTGCATATTACTGACATAACACAGGGTCAGAAATAGGTCTCCTCCCAGAAGTGACAGAATCCTAGGATTGTGAGTGAGGTCAGCACAGTAAAGGTGAAAGTACTTTGGCAGCTGCTGAGATACCACCAAGTCTTGGATAAATAAAAAGACATCAGCCTGTACCTTTGCCATTAACTTAATCTTCACAGCACAAATATTTATTAGAAAGGCCATGAAAATGGATTTGGAGATGATTAATAAACAAAATAATAATACCTCATTACTTCAGATGAAGTGAACACTGGAACCTTTTAAGAACGTGCTTGTTGCTTTCCAACAAGAACATTGGCAATTTCCAGGACAGAAATTTGGAAGCTTGTATTTGTGTTATTAAATATTCTGTTGGCAGTAAGAGTGGCTGTTGATCAGGCATAGATGATATCTGGACTTGGAACAGTTAATAGGACCAGTGTGGTGTGGACTAGAAGCCAGCATACTCATCTGGAGCCACGAAAGAAAGTCCTGAGCATGCGGGATGGATTGCTGCTAAAATCACAGGAAACACAAACTTTATATAACCTGGCCTGAGCAGCAAAAATAATAGTGGCTTTAGAGCTCCTACTTACATACATTACAAATAAATCATCATTTTCCCTTCAGGATTCTCTGTTGTGTGCAGGAGAAAATTCAAACTTCTGAAATTGGCATACAGACCCCTCATGATTTTCAGCCTCTTCCCTGGCCGTTTCTCCTGCCCCTCTGTACGCCGGGTCCTCTCAGAAGTGGGCCTGTGCGTGTTTCCCCTCTCCCTGGAACGTTTCCTCACTCATCCTTATCTGACTGGTGACACCAGAGAAGCCTGTCCTGCTACCTTACCCATGACCCATCACTGGCTTAGGTACCCCTTCTGTGGGCACCCACAGGGCCTTGTATTTACATCTGTAGTGGGATTTATCACTCTCTTCTGGTTTGATTTTCATGCATCTGTCTCCCCCAGCTCGACTATAAACTCCTTGAAGAATATGGTAGTAGGGCTGTTCCCGGTGCCTAGCACATAGAGGGTCTATAAATATTTGTTGAATTCATAAATGACTGTTTTGAGGAAATATTATATAAAATATAAATATAATTCTAAAACTTTGGGACTTTTAATCATGTGCTACACCATCTTTGGCTTTTGTTTGAAAGAATTTTTGGGAACATTGAGCTCTCCTGATTCATGGCCCAAACTCAGCATCAGCAAAGCAATACCCTCTGTCTTAATCTACTCTGTCTCCCCTAACGAAATACCCCACACACTGGGGCTTAAACAACAGAAAGTTATTTTTCACAGTTCTAGAGTCTGGGAAGTTCAGGATCAGGGTACCAGCTGATTTGGCTTCTGTTGAGGGCTCTCCTCCTTGCATATGGTGACCTTCTCACCATGTCCTCACGTGTGGAGAAAGATCTCTCTGGTGGCTTCTTATGACCTTATTTAACCTTAATTACTCTCTAAAGGCCCTATCTCCAAATATAGTCACACTGAGGATTAGGGCTTCAACATATGAATTTGAGGGGGACACAGTTCAGTCCACAGCACCCTCATCTGGGGAAAGGAGCAGAGTCTGGTGTCTAGGGTTCTGAAACAATCTTTCTTTCTGCCTTTGTGTTACAAGGGTTCTGGAAGGCCTGTTTCCTCACACATGCATACAATAGTTTTTATTAGTATCTTATACTAAGAGTGAAACTCACTGCTTTAAGCATCTCAACTTCTTAGTTTAACTATCTATACCCAAGTTGGACCAGCTGGGAGAAGAAAGAATCTAGGTTTATCTAGGTTTAGAATTTTCCTTTAGGATCATCATAAAGCTGTGTGAAATTTCAATGTTGTATTTGTGGAAGAAGGGAAAAAAGGAGAGAGAAGAAAAAAAAAATCCCTTTATTTTTCAGAATTTTCTCTCTTCCATTCATTATGACCTTTCTTTGACAATTGTAGGATTTAAATGCAATATAGATTTTCAAATACAGATTATATAAATTATGATTCTCATGTCAGTCATAAATTGGCTGACTGGAGGAGTAGCATGCTGGGATCCCACAATTCCCAGGAAATACCTAATAGTATAAATCAGAATAACTTAAAAAGCTGGTGATTTCATGAGCTAAAAGTCTTTTTCAGTAGCATGAGGAAAGAGGTCATACCCTGCTAGTATAAAATGCATTTTCATTATGGAATTAAGCTAATATATACTAAATGAACAAAATTACAGTTGACCCTTGAATAACACAGGTTTGAACAGTGTGGATTCACTTATAGGCAGATTTTTTTTGGTAAATACAGTACTATAAATGTATTTTCTCTTCTTTATGATTTTCTTAATAACATTTTCCTTTTCTCTAGCTTACTTTATTGTAAGAATATAGCACATAATACAGCACATTATATATAACGCACATAACATACAAAATATGTGTTAATTGACTGTTTTATGTTCTTGGTAAGGTTTCCAGTCAACAGTAGGCTAATTTTGGGGACAGTCAAGTTATACTTGTATATTTGACTGCATGGGGAAACCTAACACCCTTGTTGTTCAAGGGTCAAATATACATTGCTTTGTCTCTTTAAATATCACTGATGATGAGTTCTTTAAAAATAAAATATAATAAAAATAACCACTGCTTTTGTTCATTAACTCTTCAGAAAACAATTTGAAGAAATGGCTTCTTATTTTAACTTGCCTTCTGTAAAGGAATTTGCTGAACATATAACTAAGGCCACATCAGAAGAACGACAGAAAATGCTAAAAGACTTTTATGCTTCTCAGTATCCAGAGGTAAAAGAATTTTTTGTGGATTCTGCTGCAGAATTCATTAAATCTTCCCCTCAGAAAAGAGAGAGAGTTAGGAATAAGTCTGAAAAAAGAGAATCTCTTATAAAAGAAAGGCCGTCAGATTCTGAAACTTTGTCATTTAAAAATTCTCCCAAAAAAGTTTCTCAAATTTATAGCCCAAAAATATATAAAGAAAAATCTATTAAGTTTCAAAATCACAGTTTCCATAGAGGAGAGGTGCCTTCTAATGATGGAGAAACTAACGAATCACCTATAAGCTCTACCCAAGAGACTGACAATGGGAAAAACAGCCAAGCCTCCAAAGACACTGTGGCATCCTGCTTCCTGAACACTAAGTCTGAAGTATATGAGTTAGAGAAATTAGAATATACCATGAAAGACCAACAAGACCTAAGAAGAACAGGCATTTCAAGAAATGAACCACTTTTCAAAGTGGAAAACAGAAAGATAAAAAATCCAGAGTTAGGCAACACTTCTGTGGTTGGCTTACTTGGTGACACGTCTATTCTTGATGACCTCTTTAGAAGTCATGGGAATAGTACCACACAACTGCCAAAGAAAGTTCTTTCAGGGCCCATGGAAAAAGCAAAACAGAGACCAAAAGATTTCTGGGACATCTTGAATGAACAGAACGACGACAGTCTTAGCAAACTCACCGACTTGGCAATGATAGAGACTCTGTGTGAAAAAGTGCCCCTTGCTGCCTCCTCCAAAAGGAAAGAGGAGCTGGAAACTTCACTTTGGAAATCAAATGAGAAATTTTTGTGGAAAAAATTTAGCTCAAGTGATACAGATGAAAACACAACTAATGTGCAAAAGTAATGCGTAAACATACAATGAGTTACTATAACCAGTGAATTTCTGCCACCCATGTTTACAACACCATGTTCCACACTAAGTATGTTACTTTGAACACAGTTTTTATTAAATTCTTGCTGTAGGGCTGTTTTAGCCTAAAAGGTTTTTCCTTGATATCTGATTTGATCTTTTAAAAATATGATTGTATTATAGTATCATCATCTTTATGAAATAGAAAAAGGTCTAGATTTGTTATCAGGAGACCTGGGACATCTCCCTTACTGTGTAATTATGTGCCAGTAGATAAGTCACTTACTTTGGTGTACAGATATTTCCTAATATGAAAGATGAAGGCTTTGAACTCAAGCAACATTTGTGTCCTTCCAGATTAAAAAGGCTTTGGTTTACTTTCCCAGATTCTATTAAGTCACAGGTCAAATTACAGTACATTGATGTGTTTCTTTCTTACTAGCATTTAGAAAATTAACTGTTTTCCTTTTCCCAAAGTATCATGTATTATTACTAAATTATGTCAGAGCAAGTAATACCTAGTACTGAATATATGATGTGTTAAAATAATAAGTTTATCACTGCTGAAAATCAAAGGGTTAATGTTGTATAACTGTACTATATGAGGTATGACACCCAAGTGATCGAACTACTGCCGATAGCCACAGAACGCAATGCCTCTCCTCCACTTGTTATACAACAGTTAAGATTTAGTCAGTACAGATTAAGCTGTGTGTAGTACTTTTGTATGAAGTATGGAGAAATGAAGAAACATTTTATTTAAAACTGTTCTATTTTGTTGAATTTAATGTATTTAATGTTCTATTTTGTTGAATGTTGAATTTAAAACTGTTCTATTTTGTTGAATTTAACTGTTCTATTTTGCTACATTTAATGTATGTGGTTTATAATCAACGGAATGTGCTTATTGTTGAATTCATTTCTGTGGAAACATTCACTCGGTCCCTGTGTATCCCGCACCAGTGGCTCAAGATGTGCAGGTGAGGTACCACTCTGGGTAAAGGACAGGAGACCGCATCTGTGAAGAGTCCTGGCTGTAAGGGCCAGCGGGTCATGCCTGGCACTTGGTAGCAGGGACTGAGGCTTCTACTGACCCACATTCAGATGCACTGTGGCAGCTGTCCCTGGGTTGAGCTCCCAGAGCGAGGGCAGGAAGAAAAATAGGAAATGGCAGTGCCCCAGGAAGTGCTGATGCTCAGAGCGCCGTAGACCATTGTTGTGTTGAGGGGGCAGGGCCTCCAGAGTACCCGCCATTGCAGCGGGGAGCCATGTGGGAGATGGAAAAAGCAAACAAAAACAAAGAAACAAAGAAATCATTTCTCAAGGGACTGAGTGACCAAATACGATTTTCTCTGTGAAATCTATTTTATATCATGAGCCAGTACGTATGTGTTAATACAGATTGAAACAAAATGTTTATGAAATAATATTTACCCATAAGGCATGTAGTGTCCTTTGATATCTCCTTTTCTGTTGCAGTTTTGGCTCTTATGTCTATGTGTTTTTTCATGCTCTCATAACCCACTAAATTGATTTTATGGCCCATTAATGATTGGAAATCACAGTTTGCAAATCATTGTTTTAGATTATATGGAACTAGTCTCTCTCTCTCTCTCTTTTTTTTTTTTTTTGGCTATTTTCAGCTGAGTTGTATCCAAACCTACCAGATGCTGAGTTTCACCATGGAGGTGCTTGCTACAAAATCAATGTGTCGTGTATCTGTGGTAGACATATAAATGTTGTTAGCCTGCTCTGGCCTAGCTGTAGGAGGAGCCCAATAAGCAAGTAGACACCCCTTCATCTCAGTTTACATAGCAGATGGAAGAGTTCAGTCATTTTAGTAAAAGTGGGTCTTTCATAAAATAAAATAACTAAAATTTTTAATACAGATATGACCTTTGAATCATAAAATGATATTCATACAATATAATGAAATACTATTAAAGAGATTTTTATCAGTGAAAGTCAAAGTGGAAGCAAAAATTACAGACCTGGAGTTTAAAAACTAGTTTTCAGCAGTTGCCAGTGAAACTGTCATTATTATCATGCGGGAGCAGCGTGTCAAGCAGAGTACAGGATCCAGTACGGAAAGGAGCCAGTCGGAAAGTTCCCAGAGGGAAGCCGTAAGGGTCGACTTGCTCTGCACCGGAGCAGTGGGAAGAGTTGGATCAGCCATTGATGAATCTGGGAACGGACACTATGAAGGGCTGACAATGAGAATCCTGCCTAGCCCACCCCACCACGGTCTTCCAGATAAATAGGTGGCCCCAAGCAAATCCCAAGGCTTCTTTCAGCCTGTTACCCCCTTTAAATTTGAGATGGATGTGATCACTGGTGTTCAAGCATTTTTTTTAAAGCAACTGAACTCTATCTTAATTAGAAGATCAGTTGTCGGAAATAATTACAAATGGAGGTCTGCTGGTTCCAGCAGCACCGCCATGGCTCCATGGGGCACTAGTGTGAAAAACCACAGGGATGATATCACTGCTAAAAAACCTTCCAACTTCAGGTTTCCAAGATTCTGTTTGCCACAGTCTGTCTTGTTCACCTGTCTTTAAAGCACTCAACACACAGTTATAATATTGGAAACTGAGGCAAAATACTGAGAGGCTTTTGCACTTGAATTCCCTGGGGTTCCCTTAAAGCCCTGAAACTAGAGTAAATTAACATCACCTGCAAGTCGTGTGGCTGCCCCTATATGGTCAAGGCAAAGGAACCTTGGTTTGCAGAGAGGAGTTGGTGATAAATTTTCTGACAGTCCACAGAAAATGAGAAGGCCAAGGACAGTATAGTTCAAAGGTTTTAAAAGCCCAATGTGGGCAGTTTTTAAATTCTGAAGTTATCCTTCCTTATATTAAAATTGTCCTCTTTGCATGAAATGATAGATTGTAGTTTTTAGTCTTTTTCATTGTCCTTACTTGATATAAGTTGATAACCATATGTCAGTTCCCAAAAGTTTTATTTGACATTTACTAGTCTATAAAATCCCTAAGAATGGAATCGCTGCCTGCCTCCAAGTTCACGAATGGCTCCCTCCATGGCCACTATGTCATAAATCCAGTTAACAGTGGGTCTAGGACCCACCAAGGATGTCACTGAACCTATATGATCCTGTAAGATGGACCTGCCTTCACAGAGCCCAGAATGCGGAGCACGTTAGCTCCTCACCTAATTCTCATCAGGTCGTCATCGATGTAATCTTGTTCCCCAGTTCCATCCCCACCTGCTCTTGCAAAGCATCCTCCACCTAGTGCTTCTGAGGGTGTTAAAGGGAAGACTCGGAAGTTCAGGAACACATCTTGTCACTGGCGACACTGCATTTGCCTTGGGGGACAGCTTTGCATGCTACCCCCAACCCCACACCCCCACCCCCATTCAGTGCTGGCTCCACGTGGTGTTTGTGCCAGGTGGGAGGAATCTCACACTCTTTCTCTGTTAATGGGCAACAACAGGAGGGCTGCCTTGCCTCACAAGGTCTTACAGAGTTTTAAGTGAAAACAGCCCTTTGGGGAAAGACTCAGATTGACCCTTACTCTGGAGGGAAGCCCTGAAGTGGCAAGTCAGAACCACCTGCGGATGCTTTCAGGAGGTCGAGGGGTCAGCACAAGCACCTATTTTTATAAGTTTCACACTATGATATGATGTGCTAATATTTTGTCTGAGACCGTCATCGCTGGGCAGGACATTCTCTCCACATCAGTGAGCCCCTTCGCTTGTGGACAAGCTCATCCTGGAGCCCCAAATTTGTCATTAGCATTATGTTTCAACTTGGTCAATATGTACTTTATTTGCTTTGCTGCAGGTTAACAAATGGCAGTGGTTATATTTATCCCCTAAATTTCCAAATTTAGTCTTAATTATATGAGTAGGATGCCTTTCTGTCACTGACACAGATAATGCCCAAGTGACTCTTGGGTTTGTACTGCTTTCTGTCATGGTTAAGAACCAAGAATAACTCTTTTGGGGCACCTGGGTGGCCCAGTCAGTTAAGTGTCTGCCTTCGGTTCAGGTCATGATCTCAGGGTCCTGGCATCCAGCCTGGGACATAGCTCTGTGCTCAGCAGGGGGTCTGCTTCTCTCTCTCTTCCTCTCCCTCACCCTCTGCTCCTCCCCTGCCCCATGCTCGCTCGCACCCTCTCTCTCAAATAAATAAAATAGGTTTTAAAATTCTTTATAAAAAAAAGAATGCCTCTTTCTACAGATGTCTTTTTGGTTAGCTAAATGGGCCCCCTCCGTCTTGTTGAAAGAAATCACTGTAACTCACTTTATACTGTTTTAGCTTATGTAAACAAGGGGGAAAGTGTGCATCTCTGAATGTCTTATGTGTCTCTAAGGAAATACTAGTGAGTCATCTTGTCAAATTAAAATATGAATTAGTCCCTCCTCACCCCACATGTATCTTTTAACTGATTTTTTCACTTTTTTGTAAAGTGAGACATGCTTCTGGACTGAAAGACTTCAAAAGAAGGCTCATAGTAGCTAATGTACGTATTTTTTACCTTCCTAAAACTATTATAAAAGCATTGATAAGAACAAGAAGAGATTGTAGGGCACGCGAGTGGCTCAGTCGTTAAGCGTCTGCCTTCGGCTCAGGTCATGATCCCAGGGTCCTGGGATCCAGCCCCACATCACGCTCCCTCCTCGGCGGGAGGCCTGCTCTCCCTCTCCCACTCCCCCTGCTTGTGTTCCTGCTCTCACTATCTCTGTCTCTGTCAAATAAATAAATAAAATCTTAAAAAAAAAAGATTGTCATTTTTCGAAACATAAATGCCAGCGTGAGCTCCATGAGAACTGATTTCACATGCTCAGATTATGCCCGCTCTGCACCACCCCCCCGCCAGCCACCCGCTAGTGCCTTCCCTGTGCTGCGAACAGCCCACCCCTCTCTCTGCCCAGCCAGGACTCAATACCCTCTCTGCCACTGCCTTCAGGAGCCTCCCTTCAGCGCTGCCTGGCAGAGCCCCAAGTTCCTTTCAGGGCAGCCCCGACTCAAGTCCGCCCCCTCCGCCCAAGCGTCCTGCTCACCGGTGCCCCGGAGCCCTCAGGGCCGCGTCCATCCACGTCACAGCTTCCCGCACTCAGCTCTCCCTGCTCTCCCCAAACGCCTCGTCCTACTCAGACCTCTTCACTACCTGATTTGCCCGACCTCCCCTCCACGGGGGAGGTGGGGGGGGCAGGCATCAGCAAAGCTGAGCAGGCTGAGTGACGTGGGAGGAGCGCTGAATGTCATCCCCAGGACCCTTGAAGCCAGGGCACCCAGCAAGTCATCTGGGGGGCAGCAGTTCCCTGACCTGCGGGGAGAAGGCAAACCCAGCCAGTGTGTGGAGCTCCGGCCAGGGTGCCATCATGCACCCCTGACGTGGCCCAGAGCTGCCACATTGCCCTGAAAAGCGCAACAGCTCCTCAAAGACAGCTTAGGGCACAGCAGTGTGCTCGGGCATGCTGGGGCGGACAAGTGGATCTCAGGAAGCTTGAAGCGTCCCCTAGGAGGGTGTGAGAGCACAGGACACCACCAAGGAATCCAAGGACAAAACGTGTGCTGAGCGGTGGAAACAGGATGGCTTCCAGAGTCCAAAAGCGAAGAAACAATGGTTTGGGATGAGTGATCAGGAAAGGCCACCCCAAATTCTGGGGATGGGGCCAGTGGCCAGGCCTGAAAGAGTGGGAAGGCCAGAACAACACTTCCTCCAGTCTTCCTCAGCCTTTAAAACCCCAAATGACAAGGCATGTTGGCCTTGTAGAGAAGTTTGAGTTTGGGACCGGCCAAATACAAAAACGCTTC